TTTGCTGATAGGTTTCTAAAAAGAAACATGCAGATTTAAAATATAACATGCAGCTTTCTATATATGGATACATAAAAACACTTTATTTGTTACATTTATGATTAATGTATTTGAACGTAGACACAACACATTTGTGTCGGCCTTGGCTTATTAAAGTTCGTGTCTTGAACTTTGCCTGTGTGTGTTTCAGGTACTGCACTCTCAAAGACTGAATCAACCAGCATTGCAGCCATGGGTCATTGTGAGCATCACAGGGAAGGTTGAAGCCGCCCACTGCAGCTGTATGGCCGGAGTCGCGGAGACCTGCACCCATGTCTCTGCTCTTCTGTTTAAAGTAGAAGCAACAATGTGGATCTGTGGCACAAGGACTGTTACAGATGAACCTGCATACTTGATTTTGCTGGGTAATATGACCAAGATACAGCCAGAGGTTGGCCATAAGATAGACTTCTCCTCTTCAGCTGCCCAAAAAAAGGCTCTCAATCAAAACATAAACAGACCATCTGTAGTGACAGGTAAAACAAGCCGTCCTCAAAACAGAAAAATTCCACCTGCTACTGTGGAGGAGTTGGATCAACTGATGGGAAAAATATTTTCCAAGCATAGTTCTGTTCTGAATAGCCCATAATGTTTTAATTTAGGGGGGCCTGTAAATAATTTGCATTTACTGATTATGTACTTACTAATTACCACTGTTCAAAAGTTGAATAAAGAAACAAACAAATGTTTACCTATTTTTAATTAAAACCACTTTATAGAACATCACATCAGTTACAATGTAGAGTCAATGTCATGTATAGTTTACAAATGACAAAATGTTTACATAAAATCATGACAGCATTTATATAATATCACCCACTTTCTGTAATTCTGTAATTTACTGTCTCTTTTGAAAATGTATCACTGCATAAACAGCACAAGACTTTTAAGAGTATTTAACAAGAGCATTTTTCCCTGGTTTTACTAACACACTGGGGCACATGTTCAACAAAACGCAGCAAACCTTTGCCATCTTATCCAGGAGGGTCACCTTTTCACCCTCACATGGAAGAAGTAATCTGATTGGCATGGTGGTATGTAGCATGTAGTATGTATGTAGCATGGTATGTAACATGTACAAAGACTTCGTAGTGCCCCATGTGTAGTGTTGGAACCCAGTCAGGATTTGTTTCATTCATTTCATAGGCTGGTTTGCCTGCAATAATGCCAAATAATTAGCAACTTTATAAACAAAGGTAGTTCTGCATGTTTGTTCTAATTTGCTATGACATCAGAGCGCATTGAAAATAAAAAGAGTAATATGAACTTATTTAGAACTTACCAGAATGAAACTACTGAAACACACCAACAGATATCTGTGGCTGGTAGAGATCTGAATATCAGCTCGTCTCACAGCTGCTATCCAGGCTAGACGCCTTCTTTTGGTAACATCCAACACATAAGCTCCCTCATGATGCTTCCAGGTGAGGAAACAATGAAAAGAGAGCCCATTTTCAAGCTTATTCCCTTGCCAGTAGTGCAATCTAACATTACAACCGACCACACAGCAAGCATTTGTTTGGCCTGCTAATATGGCGCCTCAACCAAAAATCCTGGCTACGCCCATCCGGTAAGATCACGCTCCAGAGCCCTATTAACGTACGGATCTAGAAAGAAGACGCTGCATTTTTAACTCTGAGGGAGATGGAGAATGAGCCTATTTCCAAAATAAAGTGGAGTGTGTTCCTTTAAGTACTATGTTGTATATATTGTCACAAACTAAAGCGTACATAGCAGTTGTTGTATCTTGTTTACTGTATCACTGACAGATAATTTCAAAGTCAAGTGAACGCTACATTATAGTGAGATATTGTGTAATGTGAAATACTGTAAGCAAATGAATAAACAACCTAATTCTTGCTAAACCTTTGACTCTGTTTTTTTTTAATCCAACTGTTTTTTGCAGATGAACATAAAACATGTTGTTACTTTTAGTATTATTATTATTATCATCATCATTATTGCACTAAATACATTTTCAATAAAGGATACTTTGATATACATTTTACTGTAAGGTTGGAAATGTGTTTTCTTCACTCTGAAATATCTTTTGAAATGCATTTTGGTTTGAAAAAAATATATTTTCAATTTCAAAAATATATTTTTTTGAGCATCACAAATACAACATATATTTACCATATATTTGAAATATATTTTGGCCAGGAAAAATGTGATCTTTGATAGTGTTCCCCACCAATGCTATGGAAATGACACCGTTAGAGTCCTCACTGCTATCCAAAAGCAACATCGATTATCTTAAATTCTTGAGTGATGCCAACATTTTATAAACTTCCCTGAAAACAAATCCGATGTGTTGGTTATGAGTAGAGTTTCTTATATCACCTCTGCCCACAGTGAGCTTGGTTCATGGACTAAAGACACCAAGCAGACTGATAAAACCATGGAGATGTTTTTTAATCTGACCTCTGTTTTGAAGTTAAAAAAACGTCGGATATAAAATAATAATGATATTAATAATCATCATCATCATCATCTTTTTTTTTTTTTTTTTACTTTTAGCTGTGTTGTATTTTCTCCACTCTATTAAACAAACCGAGTTAAGCCTAGTTTAGTCCGTGCACCAACTGGAAATGAAGGTACATTCGGCTGACCTCTAGGCTCTAGATATTTAACATTTAGTTTCTGTTATGTTTTTAACCTGTAACGTTTACTTGTAATAACACTTGAACTTCTTGATTAGGTTTCTTTCTTCTTCAGAGCCTGAAGCTTTCCTTCGCAGTCTGTCTGTGGTGTTTTAGCTTTCCCGTATTCACCTTCCTCAAGGTCTGCTCAGTGCCGTCCATCCCCCATCACATCTGCTCCTCTGTGGGATTACAGCGCAAATGTCTGTCTGAAACACTCTGTGCTGAGGGGGGAGATTACAAGTGCACTGCACCGTCCAAGAGAGGTTAACCAATCAGGGCATGCAGATGCAGGGATTAACCAATTGCACCACAGAGAGGGAGGGCAGAGGGATTAAGCAGAGCACAGAGTGGGATTAGGTCAGTGTCGAGTGCAGAAAAATGCTTTGAAATGTCCGTTGCTACCCGCTCACTACTCTCGCTGCGCTACATTTTCATAGTCAAGGGCTGTGATCAGACCATTTGCATGGCAACAAAAACTGGTATTACTTATTACTGTAAATATCAGAATGGCATCAGAAATGTGTCATCAAACCTTTTATGCTAGTGTGGCTGACATGAACAGTTTTTGTGATACTCAGCTTAAATGGCAAACTGTTCCATTTTTGGGTAAAAACGTGGAATTTATTTAAAACATTTGACCAAACCTACTGCAACACACAAACTGCTCCTATGTGATGTCAGCAGTAAGTTGGTGTTGCAGTAATCATGTTGGGACTGTCAGAGGAGCGGGGAAATAAGTGGAACCGCTCAGCTGATAGTGAGCTAACACAATTAATGAAACAACTGTAAGCAAAAAGCACTTTATTAAACTGCACTGTGGTCAGTGAGACAGCTGTTTTTGGGAGATGTGCATGACAACAGAGATGCAGCTAAACTGAAAAGGCTTTAAGAGAGAAAACAGCCAGAGGTGGAGGAAAAAGTAATACTGCAAAGCTGATGGGAGAGAATAGACAGAAAAGATGGAGGGAAACAGGAGAAAGAGGGGAATGGAAGTGGAAGAAGAGGCTGAGGTAGGTGACAGACAGAGGGAGGTAGGGCAATAATCCTAACTAATTCACTTAGGACATTGCTGAAGGGATTCTAAGAGGATTGGAACACTCCCAGAATCAGATAAGCTAAAATAACCAAGATGGAACAGTGAGAGCCATGCAGGCCTTATGACAAACATGGCGGCTCCAGAGCCCACTGCTACAACATGGCCACTTTACATCCAACGTCCACTTCACACTGACCCCTAACTGTGACTTCCAAATCCGCTAAAGCTACACTTTCAAACCGGAACTCATCCCAAAGATCATCAGTGTGCAAACATGTAAAGAATAGATCACTTTAATGTGTCACATTTAAAACAGAAAATCTATTTTTTCTCCATCAAACAGATCAGGATGATGACACTAAAGGTGAACACTGTAATACTTAACACGAAAGCTAAAAAAGATCTAAATGCAGTCAAATTAGATATTCAAATGGAACTTCAAATAATAATATTAATAATAATAAATAGCTCAAAATAACGTAACCCTGAAGGAGGACCTACAGGAGCTCCTCCAGGACAAAAAGCTCTCCTTTCACTCTATGCAAATGGAACACAAAGTGTGTGTGTGTGTGTGTGTGTGTGTGTGTGTGTGTGTGTGTGTG